GGAATGGGGGGGGGGGGGGGGGGAGGGGGAGGGGGGCGGGAGGGGGAGAGCAAGGGAATCTGTGGCTGATATGTAAAATTAAATTAAAAAAAAAAAAAGGTCAGGTCAGGCTGCAAGCTGCGGTGGCGCACGCCTGCCTTTAATCCACTCGGGAGGCAGAGCCAGGTGGGTCTCTGTGAGTTCAAGGCCAGCCTGGTACAGAGCAAGAACCAGGACAGGCACCAAAACTACACAGAAAAACCCCTGTCTTGAAAAAAAAAAAAAAAAAAAAAAAAGTTTAGAGATGTAGCTCAGTTGATAGAGTGCATGCCCAACATACACAAAGCCCTGGTTCAATGCCCTGCACTTCATAAAACTAGGTGCATGCACTCAGGAGATGGACCAGAAGTTCAAAGGCATCCTTGCCTACATATCAAGCTCAAGGCCCATGTCTCAATGGAGAGAAGAAGGGACAGGAAAAGAAGTTTTTTATTGCTGCTGCTGTTTTTCTTTTCTTTTTTAGATATTAGGAACCCAGCATAGTGACAGCACACCTGTGATCCCAGCATTTAGGAGGTAGAAGTAGGAAGATTAGGAGCTTAAGGCCAAACTGAGATACCCGAAACTGTCTCAAAACCAACAACAACAACAAAACACCCAAAACCTGAGGTTTGAGCTGTAAGAAGCAACACTGAAGAAACAGCATCCCTCTCATAGAACCTTACAAACAGAGATTAACCTATAAGGAAATACAAGAGACCTATAAATATGTGGCCCCAAGTTGAATCCTGTTAGAAACACATTTATAACTGGGTGTAGTCGTACACATCTATCATCTGAGCACTTGAGAGGTCAAGATCATCCTAGGCTACATAACAAGTTTGGAGGCTAACCTGAGCTAGGTGAAACCCTATCTCAAAAAAAAAAAACCCTGCATCTATGAGATACTTGAGGAATCTTATTCTGTTGGGCACTATTAAAGATTTTTTTTTCTGGGACAGGGTCTCACTTGTAGCCCTGGCTGTTCTGGAACTCACTATGTAGACCAGGCTGGCCTCAAACTCAAAGAGATCTGCCTGCTTCTGCTTCCTGAGTGCTGAAATTAAAGGTGTGCAACACTATGCCCCAAACTTTAAACACCGAGTAGTATTTTAGGTTTGATGAGTCTGTATTTACACACATATAAGAGCAAGTACATACACATATATATGTAAATATAAAAATTTATGGATAGGAAGTGTGGTGGTCTGAAAGGAAATGACCCACCAAAGGGATTGGCACTATTAGAAGGCGTGGCCTTGTTGGAGGAAGTATATCACTGTAGGGGTAGGCTTTGAGGTCCCTTTTGTTCAAGCTTCCCTCAGTGTGACAGTTGACTTCCTATTCCTGCAAGCCAAAATGTAGCCAGCATGACATATGCATGCATGCCACCATGCTCCCCACCATGATTATAATGGATTTAACCTCTAAAACTGTAATCAAGCCACTCCAATTAAATGTTTTCCTTCTAAGAGTTAACAGTGGACATGGTGTCTCTTCACAGCAATAAAAACTCTAACTAAAACAAGGTGGTACCAGGGACTGGGGTATTGCTGTGATAGGCCTGACCATGTATTTGTTTGGAGGAATTTGGACTTTGGTAATTTAGGTTATGAAAGAAGTGGAATGCTGTAAGCACGGCTTAATGGGGTAAACTATTAGGAGCATGGAAGACAAGGTGCTAAGAGTGGGGGGGGGCTCACTCAAGAGGTTTCAGAGGAGAATTTTAGTATGTTGCTTGGAGATCATTCTTGTGATATTTGGTGAAGAAAGTCGCTGCCTTTTACCCTTGTCCAAAGAGTCTACCTGAGGCTAAAGTGAAGAGTTTTGGATTAATTCCATTGGAAGAACTCTCAAAACTGCCTAGTATAGACACTATTGTGTGGATATTAGTGGTAACTCTAATGAATATTTATAGTGAAAAGGAGCAAGCTGAACAGGATACATTACAAAAAGTAAATTTTGAGGAGAAAAAGAGCACCAGGAAGTGGAATGGAGCTAAATCCTGTGTTCAAGGAGATAAATGGGTTAAGAAATGGAATAAAGGGAGTGGTAACCTCAGGGCAAGATCCCACCCAGCTAAGTTTCCAACTTGTGGAAAGACACTAAAGAAAAGCTTAAGAGCTGGGCATGGTGGGATACACCTTTAATCCTAACACTGGGAAGGCAGAAGCTGCCAGATCTGAGTCTGAGGCCAGCCTGGTCTACAGAGCAAGTTTTAGGACAGCCAAGGTTAGGCAGTAAATGACAGAAAGCTGGCGAAGATGTAATTGAACAAGGAGGCCATGTTCCAGCCCCAGGAAGCAGCAGAGAGTTAAGGACAGAAGAAAGGAGTTATGGAATAACGCTACTGAGGCCAGGCTTGTGTTGGAGGAGTCCCTGAATAGGGACCTAGTAAAGAGGCTGTTGTATGAAGCTGTGAAAATGAAGCCTGGATTGTGTTGGAGAACCCAAGTTGTTAGAGATGCCAGAGCCGTGGGATACCTGCCAAGGAGAGCTGCTAACAGGGAGTAGAACCAGCCCACGAGAAAGAAGTGTGTTGCAGTCGACAAAGCTGAACAGAGTTGGAGATCTGAAGAACATTTTGACATCAGACACAGAGCTGCAGAGTTTGCAGTTTGCCCAGCTGGTTTTTGGTCTTGCTTTGGTCCAGTATTTCCTTACTATGCTCCATTCCCTGCATTTTGGAATGGTAACGTATATCCTGTGTCATAATATGTTGGAAGTATGTGATCTTTTTTATTTTGATTATTTATAGGGATATCACAGTTAAGAGATTGCATAAGTCTCAGAAAAGACTTTGGACTTTAAAACAAATTTGAGAGTATTACAGACTATGGGGACTTTTGAAGTTGGACTGAATACGGTTTTTTTTTTTTTAACTGATATGGTCAGGGAGTAGAATGTGGTGGACTGAAAGGAAATGACCCCCAAAGGGAGTGGCATTGTTAGGTGGTGTGGCCTTGTTGGAGGAAATGTCACTGTGGAGGCGACCTTTGATGGTCTCTTTTGCTTAAGCTTCCCTCAGTGTGACAGTCAGTTGACTTCCTGTTCCCTGAAAGCCAAGTGTAGCCAGCATGACATGTGTGTGCACGCTGCTGTGCTCCCCACCCTGACAGAAACTGTCAGTGAACTACTCCAGGTAAATGTTTTCCTTATGAGTTGCAATGGGCATGTCTCTCCACAGCAATAGGAACCCTAAGACAGCATATTAAGTGGTATCTAGATTTTGCTTTAGTATAATTTAGTAGAAAGAGGCAATAGAATATATAAATAAAATATTGGCCATGAGTTGGCCAATTTTTTTTTGGTTTGGGGTTTTTGTTTGTTTGTTTGTTTTTGTTGTTTGTTTTGGTCTTTTTTTTTTAATGTTGGATGATGGGTTCCTTATTCTAGTCCATCCTTTAAAACAAAACCTTTTAGGACTAAAGAAATGACTCGGGCTGGAGAGGTGGCTAAGTGGTAGGAGCACTGACTGCTCTGACAGAGGACCTGGGTTCAATTCCCAGCACCCACATGGCAGCTCACAGCTGTCTGTAACTCCAGTTTCAAAGGACCTTACACCCATGGCAAAACATCAATGCACATAAAATAAAAATAAGTAAATTTTAAAAAGACAGAGAGAGAGAGAGAGAGAGAGAGAGAGAGAGAGAGAGAGAGAGAGAGAGAGAGAGATGACTCAGCATTTAAAAGTACTGGCTGCTCTTTCAAAGGATCTGGGTTGGATTCCTAGTACCCACATGGTGGATCCCAACCCTCTGTAATTCCGGTCTCCAGGGATCTCTGATGCCCTCTTTTGTGTGCAGAGGTACACAGACATACATGCAGCAAAACACCCTTAAACATAAAATTAAAAAAAAAACACTAAGAAATTAAAAATAATTGTTGAAAAAGTGCCTCATTCCCAGAGGTGTAAGATCTCTACCTTCCTGGTAATTGCCTTTTGATAAGATAGTCAAATATTCCTGTCTTCCCAAAGTTTCTCCTTATCACAAAGTACTGACATACTCTAGAGTTTCTTAAGTAACAACAAAGCCCTCATCATACAGGATGTATCAAATCTTAGTTTGGGCTGGGTATAGTGGCACACACCTTTAATATCTGCACTTGGGAAACATGCAGCAGATCTCCGTGAGTTCAAGGCCAGCCTGGGAAAGCTCATAGGAAAAGACGTAGACAAGCTCTAGGAAAACAGGAATAGTGAGACCCTATCTCAGAAATAAAATTTTGGAAGTTAGTCATCATACTATGAGGAGACATCATGAGGAAGCAATGACAGTTGGTTCTGTTCCATTCAAGGCAACACTCCTACTTGTGTTTTGTCATAACATGCAACTCTGTTCTCTGTCGCAGACATTCTCCCAACAGAGGCAGGTGGGACTAGCCAGGAGAGAAGGATGGAGCATTTCCAGATGAACATCCATCTTCCAGGTTTGAACTATGCATAATGCTCAAGGATGGACTTCAGTGTCCAGTACCCACTAGGGGACATAGGCTTGGAAAATGTGTACCTGCTGTTTCTTTGTTTCATTCTGCAGCTTGTTCTCTTGAACTTTATATTCCTTTTTCTCTTCAAAACATTAAAAAAAATTTTAAAAATATTGTGTATGTGTGAATGAGGGTATTCCGCTTGCATATGGGTGTGTGTGGTGCATGTGGCACAAAGCATGCTTACCTGCTGAGCCATCTCTCAGACTCTTGAATTGTTTACTAAATGTATTTTGTATATGTACTTGTTAGGGCCAGAGGACAACTTGTGGGAGTCAGTTCTTTCGGCCATGTCTGTCCTGAGGATCCAGCTCAGGTCACTGGTTCTATCTTTTTTTTTTTTTTTTTTTCGAGACAGGGTTTCTCTGTGTAGCTTTGCGCCTTTCCTGGAACTCACTTGGTAGACCAGGCTGGCCTCGAACTCACAGAGATCCTCCTGTCTCTGCCTCCCAAGTGCTGGGACTAAAGGCGTGTGCCACCACCGCCCGGCTCACTGGTTCTGTCTTATACCAATGCTCCAGAAAGCTTTTAGGTCTTGTCCTGGGCTTCAGGAGGATAATCCTCCCTCCCTCACATGTACTGCCTTCCATTACCTAGTCTAAAACTAAAGCGGCAGAAATCCTTGGCCTTATGCTCGGGGGCAGAGAGACTGGGTAATATACTTATCCTGGTTCATTTCTGAATCTCACTTTTTAGCTTTGGACATTGCTTTCCTGTTGCCAATGTTAATAAGCAACACCTTAATTAATTAATTTATTTATTTGTCTTTTTTTTTTTTTTCCAGAGCTGAGGACCAAACCCAGGGCCTTGTGCTTGCTAGGCAAGCACTCTACCACTGAGCTAAATCCTCAACCCCAACCCTAATTTATTATACTTTTTTTTTGTTTTTCGAGACAGGGTTTCTCTGTGTAGTTTTGGTGCCTTTCCTGGATCTCACTCTGTAGACCAGGCTGGCCTCAAACTCACAGAGATCCTCCTGCCTCTGCCTCTCGAGTACAGGGACTAAAGGCATGCGCCACCACTTCCCAGCTTATTATGCTTTTACTCATTGTTTATTCTACATCCAGTTGCTGTGAAATGTTTTGATTTTCCTTTGTCAGAACAATAGGTAGAATAGATTTCCATCTTACTAAAGTAAAGAGGAAAACAATCATAAAAGAGATACCCTTTTATGGCCACTGCAACTCTTGCTATTACAGGTTCCAGAACAGTGGGATGAGCAAGTGGAGTTACAGCCTGCTGTCACTACTGAAGCATCAATAAGTCTTGTCGTCTGACTGCTGGGACCCAAGTGTGTGCTGACAGATGCTGACTGTCCTCTAGTTTTCTATTTTTATTTACTTTACCAAAATGTGTCCTGAATCTTTAAAGAATAAAAATAGACTAAATCAGAAATAATTTAAGTGTGCTGGGGCTTGAAATTAGGGTGTCATACATGCTAGGCAAGAGGTCTATCACTGAGCCACACACCCAGCCCTTAATAATCAGACGTTAATGGACTTGACTACATTGAATCCCTAGACTCAGGCTGGGTATAGATGTAGCCCATTGGCAGAGTGCCTGCCTATCATACACAAAGGCCTGGGTTTGATCCCCAATAATGTATAAACTGGGCATGATGGCACATACATTTCCCCCCCACCCCCAGACAGGGTTTCTCTGTGTAGCTTTGGGGCCTGTCCTGGACTATCTCTGTAGACCAGGCTGGCCTCAAACTCACAGAGATCCGCCTGCCTCTGCCTCCTGAGTGCTAGGATTACAGGCGTGCGCCACCACCGCCCGGCCGGCACATACTTGTAATAACTGCTTGGGAGGTGGAAGCAGGAAGATCAGAAGTTCAACGACAACCATGGCTTCACCATGAGTTCAAGGCAAGCCTTTATATATATACATGTGTGAATATATACATATAGATCTTTAAACCATAGGAGTGGCAAAGTAGAGAAGAGAAGCAATTAGAAGAAAAACAATTTTATTGTTGGCCTTAATTATTTTAGCAATTTGGGGCTTTGCTCTATTTTCAGGTGACTAACCCATTGTTACCAGTGATCCCCCGTGTTGACATTTATTCTAGAACATCATTGAGTTAGAAGACCATGGTCCTTCTGTCCCCAAGACAGATCCTATAAAGAGGGAAACATTTCTTGTTAGATACAAATTGAACCAGTAGCAAAAAAGGAGAAAACAAAACAAAAAACCAACAGTCTCTTATCAATCTGGACAGAAAGTGACGTCAAGTTTGTAAATCCAAACCTGTAACATCCCTGCCACCCTTCTCCTGTCACACTGTGACGTTATGTTTCAAGACAGGCTCTTACATAGTCCAGGTTGGCTTTTAACTTGATATGTAGTCCAGGCTGGCCTTGAACTCCTAGATTCCCTGCCACACCTGCCAAGTGCTGTAGTCACAGGCACCATGCCCGGCTCATCATACTGTAAAGGGCGGGGAATCCCCTAATTCCCCCTTCCAATAAATATACAAATATTCACAACCTGATTGTTAAAATTTTTCACAAACTGTGTAAGGAGTTACCCTGAGACAATAGAAAAGGCAGATTGGTCCAGTATCAGAAGCAAGAGCATTCTGCTTGAGTGAGTGAGCGACAGGAGTGAAAACACCGACTGGTGGGAGGAGGGTCTGACAAAGCTGGGACATGGCAGATCCCAGCTGCAGTGTGCATGGCCATGTGCTCAGAAAGACGGGGATGGCACAGAGCAGCCTTGCATGCTCTGACAGATGGTGGGATGTGGGGTGCACTAAGATCCTAAGCTGGGTCACAATACTCTCCATTCCAGGTCCCACAGAGGTGTGGGGCTGAGACAAGGCTTAAGTGTTCTAACGAGAAAGAACAAGAGGAGAGCAAGGGCCCTTTCCAGCCACTGTTTGCCCAGATCCCTGGCCCTCTCCACATGAGGCTAGAGAATTGGGTTTCTGTTGATCCAATTCCTTAGTCTGTACCCTGGTCACCTCCCCAGTCTACTGTCAAATTACTATCCTGCCTTGCCCACTATGAACACAAAACTTTTTAGTTCTTTGTGACCGAGTATTTCAAAAAGGTTTAAACGGTCAATAAGGTGGTTATCTTTCAGTAATAGACCCCCTTTTCTTCCTCAACCCCCCTCAGTCTTGTATGGCATCATCATCATCAACATCATCTTCCTCCTCCTCCTCTTCCTCACCATCTTCTGGCAGTTCTTCATCCTCATCTTCATCCCCCGCCTCTTCATCTAGACAAACTACCACCTCCGCTGGCTGAGGCAATCGAGAGTCAAACCAGTCCAACACTTGCTGAGTGCTAAGTCTTGATGCCTGACTCAGTTTAAGGACATCAGCTTCCTGCAGCTGCTGGTGGGCCGCCCAGTACCTCTCTAAAGGTCGTATGTCAGGTGGGGGCGGTGGGGCTGGCAGAAGTGGTGTCTTGGCCCATTCTTTCAAGGAATGAGTTGATGGTGTAGGAACAACTGGATCTTGAAAAGTAGACGTACCAAGTACTGCATTGTCCCGAAACCACTTCAGTTGTCCATGCTTCAAGGCATACCGGGTATCACCAAACCACTGAATGATCTCAGGGCGAGGTAAACCAGTGATCTGTTCTAGCTTATGGTAATCTTCCCGTCGTGCCCACTGGCACTGCAGGAAAAAGGATTTGAGGATGGCCAGCTGTTCTTTGGTTTTGCGCTTAGTCTTTCGCTGGTGCTGCATGTCTGGCGAAAGGTACTCTGTGGGGCCAACCCTACCTGCTACTGAGTTATTCCGTAGCCTTTGGGGCCAGGGTGGCTCTACGTGTGGGGACAGTGCCCGCTCACTGGGCGAGAGTGACTGTGGGCTGTAGCCCACAGGCTGGAGGGCTGGAGGGGTGGCAGTGGTTCCATTAGCCAGTACCTGGAAAGAGGGAGATGGAGGTGTCCCACTAGGTGCTGATTCCTCCTTACAACCACTGACAAGTAATGAGATCGATGGGGGCTTATCCCCAGCACGTGGCTGATGGACAGCTGTGGGCTGATTCCAGGAAGCAGTCCCTCCACATGACTGGTCGGACCCCCTTTCTACATGCTCCTTAGAGAGTCCACTGATCTGAAGATCCTGACAAAAATCTGATTGGTGGGGGAATTCTCTGCTGCCTGTCATCAGAAGTTCCTTCACTTTCTGGTGACTCTGTGGCAGCTGTGGTACCTGAGAGGGCTCCTCAGGCTCAACCTTCAATCCTTTCATCTGGGTGGGCTCACTAAGAGCCGGAGGACACAGTTCAAGAGCAACCTGCTCTGGAGAGGGCACTGGAGGTGTCTCCTGTGGGGGCCACACTGTGTGATGCGTGAAAGAGAGAAGAGACTTGAAATGGAGCTGATCTCGGTGGTACACCACTCTGGCCCGAGTCTCTTCTATCTCTTCAGATGACCAGCTAATGCCACAGCGGAGGCGTTGGGCCATGAACCAGGTCTTGACCTTCTCCATCTGCAGCCCATACCGCAGGCAGAGGAGTGCGATGTCCGCCAGGCTTGGGTAGGGGAAGTAGCTGAAGGTCTGCAGCAGCTGTTCATTTCCATCCAGCTCACTGGTCTGTGCTGCTTGAGTCCACACAAGCTGTAGTTCCTCAGAGATCGGAGGGAGGCAGATGAGCCCTGCTGCCGAGCTGTTAAGACTGCTGGCGTCTTTACTAGGAGGCATGGTGTGCTCTGACGTGTGCCCTTCAGAGACAGCTGTAAGAAGAAAAACAGCTCCATCACCGAGGCTCTTCTGGCCCATCTTTTAATTTTTACCAAATTGCTAGACACCAAACAACTTTCTATTTGAATCATGTTGTACTGCTCCTAAAATGCTTCAATCATTTCTCGATTTTCACAATCCTGTCAAGTCATCAGAACCTGCCATAATTCCTGGTTCTTTACATAAAACACAGAGTCCACAGAAGTTGGGATAAAAATAACCCCAAGATACATGATAAAATTCTGTCTTTAGAGGCTAAGGAAAAAAACGTTATCCCCCCAAAGCCTTTACCTTTACAATTTCAATATGCTTCTGAAAGCTATCACTCACTCTCCCCTTGAAGTTCATGGAACAGTACTCACAGACTGAATACTAAACCACAAAAACCAGAATGCAGTAATGCAGTAATCTCAGAATGATTACTCTTTAGTGCCTAACGATCTTGGATTACTCTCAGAACACAGAGACAGGAAACCAAGCCATCAAGTAGGCATGGAAGTGTAGACCTTCAACCTGGCTCCTGGAGGTTAGTCAGGCATGGGAATGTATATTTACAACTGGCACTTGGAGATTAGCCAAGACTAGAAGTCCAGGAGTTCAAGGACAGCCTAAACTACTTAACCCTGTCTCAAAGCATACAAACAAAAAGCCAACAAGGAAACAGAGTGGGGGTACTGTGCCTAGCCTCATGCCCCCCCAACCCCTGCTTGCCTCCTTTCTTGGTAATGGGAGTGAGTTCTGTGAACAGGAAGCTGCATTCAGAGTACTTTAAAGTCCTGAACTCAGATTTTTCCCCCTACCCGAGTAGGAAGACTTTGAGGCCAGAATCTTGTGATAAAAAGAGCTTACTCCCCCTATGTTGGGTCTTGTTGAGGGGGAAGTTTCCTCCCTCAAGTCAACTTAACAAAAGTTTTCCCTTCTCCGAGTCTCCTCTTACATCTCAGACCCTCTAGGGAGCCCAGAAATGAACCCTGCCCCCCATTCATCCCACTGCACAGTCCAGCTTGCTCCTCAAAACCAGGTGGACAGGTTCATTAAACACTAAGGCTAGGTCCTGCTCCCAGGGTTCTGGACATGGGGACCTATTCATTCCTCAACGCCTGTGAAGCTAGTTCCCAGAATATTCTGTAAACATTTTCATTCCACTCCCTCCTTAGGCATTAGAGGTGCTTTAATACATCATGCTTTATTCTTGGAGAATCCCATTCGTGTTTATATTACTTCTGGTTTGTTCAGGATAGGATAAGATTCCCGTGTTGGGCTGGAGAGATGGATCAGAGGTTAAGAGCACTGAGTGCTCTTCCAGAGGACCTGAGTTCAATTACCAGCAACCACATGGTGACTCACAACCATCTGTAACGAGATCTGATGCCCTCTTCTGGCCTGCAGTCATACATGTTGTATACATAATAAATAAATAAATCTTAAAAAAAAAAAAAAAAAGATTCCCGTGTGAATGTTACTACTGATTGAGAAAACAAATTTCAGGTCCACAAAGGGCAGTGTATCAGGGGTTCCTGTTTTCACTTCTTTGGGGACCTCCAGGCTAGGCAAGTGCTGTAACACTAAAAGGTCAAACCCTAGGGGCTTTATTTACTTTAATCGCTAAAAAAAATTTAAATTAGATTTTATTTTATGAATGTTTTATCTGCATGTATGTATGTATCACGTGTGTGTTTGGTGCCCACAAAGG